GTGCATACATTTTTATAATATCTCTACTTGTAAGAATAAATGATGGGTATATAAAAAGAGTAATGTTAAGAAATGTTTCATATTTTGCAGTAAAAACATTAGCAAGTACATATTAATCATTTATATTTTGAAGCGAAAAGATATTAGAGACTATTCATCTAAACTGTAAAAGGTTTTGAGAGAGAAATGCAAGTATTTCATTGGAATTTCTTTGATATTATGTTAGTTTTATTTCCCCAAACACTGTCACTTTTGAGCAATACAGATAAATGAAGCTCTTGCCAATAAAACACATGCAAGTTTATATGAATGTATTTATATGTCACATATTTAAAATGATGATTTCTGAGAAATAATTTCAGTGCTACCATAAATATATATTTTGACTTCTCTTGAAAAGTACTTCCATTAACATTCCAATATTTCTGCATATAACATAATGAATTCTCTCAATTGAGGATATGACTGGGTAGCAAATATATTTCTTAAAGTTTGGTTATGAAATAGATGTTTCTCAAATAAATGTTTTACTGTGTCACTCATCTGAAGCCCTATCTTGACTTCCAAACACACTGTGTTATGATTTAAAGATTTCAACATGAAGAATAAGGTTTGCTTCCTCGGTGGGCTTGTTTAACTGTTAGACTAAATGTAAATAGAGAAGTTTTAATGCAGGTACACACAGTTCAAATCTACCTGCAGGCAACTTCCCTTCCACAGCTTCCATTCTGAATGTGTATTCTAACTGTATAGGAGTCCACTCATTTTTATAGACTTTATGTCTGGTCAATTTTATTGTGAAATGTTTTTATTTATTTTTAGTTTGTTTATTGTAAAGCTTAAGAGTTATTTTTTTAAAATCTACCTATAAGCATTTTCAAATATTTCAGTGACTTGCGACCACAGAAATTACATAGGAATTTATATAATGCTTAAAGATGAATGGAAGCCAATAAAAAATATCTTTATCAAATGTTCAGAAACAAACTTATGTGTTCAGTCCACTGGTTCCCAAAATTATACAGATTGGGGGCTGGTGATATAGCTTGGTGGTAAAAATTGTCTATCCACATGCAAAAATGAAATTAGAACCTTATCTTACATTATATACAATTATTAACCCAAAATAAAATAAAGACTTAAACCCGAGACTTAGATGGTAAAAGTCCTGACAGATATTGATGAAAAAGGCAAACAACACAGAGATAGATTTATGACAACATAAAACCGAACAGTTGTATCACATCAAAAGAAGTCACTGAATGAAAAGACTGAAATTTGAAATTATTTGCTCAATAGAGGATTAATATTAAAATATGTAAGGGACTCTAGTAACTCAATAGCAGATAAAACAAATCACTCAATGGGCAAATCATGGACTTAAAATACATCTATCCACAGAAGACATACAAAGGGTTAATGGATTTTCAATATCATCAATCATCATAGATATGCAAATAAACCCACAATGAGGTATCATCATGTTAATGTTAGAATGCTATTATCAAAAACCAAATGAGAGTAAACGCTGGTGAGGATATACAAAAGAGAAGCTTGTGTGTATCAACCACACCCAGGGTAGGCCCTGTTCAAAAGCAATTTTTCAACACAAAAATGCCCTCAGTGGGGTTTGTGTGGAGTTTTTGTTTTTGTTTTGTTTTGCTTTATCTTTTTGGTATTTTACTTGTTTGTTTTGATTTTCACTTTTATGGTGATATTTTGATTTTTGTTTTTCTTTGTTAGAGAAAGAAAGAGAAAGACACACAGAGAGAGACACAGAGAGGGAGGGAGAGAGCATAAAGAAAGTTGGGTGGATAGGGAGGTAGGGAGGATCTGGAAGGAGTTCAGGGAGGGAAAATAATTAAAATCTATTTTATGAAAAAAAGAATTTTAATTAAAAAATATGCCCTTTTATACTGTTATTTGGCTTATAAATTTGTAAAGTACCTGTAAAATAGAAATGAGATTCCACAAAAAACAAAACATAGAAATAAACATGACATAACAATACTACTTCAACATACATACTCAGAATAATTTGAAATCAAGGTTGCAAAGGGTTATGGCTGCTCTCTTTGCAGCACTATTCTCAATAGTTAAGGCATGGAAGCAATCCATATGTCCACCAACAGATGATTAGACTGAAAATATGAGGCTTACACAAACATGGGGTGTTACTATTTTATCTTTTACAAAAATAAACCTCTGCCATTGTGACCACATAGATGGTCCTGGAGGACACTATGCTAAGTTTAATATGCCCATATACAGGATGGTCAGTTCTTTGTGACACTACCCACTTATTAATCTAAAATGGTCAAATGTCTATAAATGGAGAATGGAATTTTGGTATTCAAGGGGGGGATGACAACATGGTGGGGATGATACACTAGTTAAAGAGCATGGTGCTTTTACTGTCAAAAATTAACAAATTCCAGATATCCTATAAAGAATGATAATAACTACAGCTAATAATGCATACTTAATTTGACAAGAGGATAGATCTTATATTGACTGTTTATCAAAGATACAAAATAGAATAAGTTTGAAATGAAAAATTTTGGAAGCATAGGTTACAGTAGTGTACAGTGTGTACTTATCTCCCAACTCATCAAGTTGTATCATTTAAAATTGTGTATTTGATAAATCAGTCAGCATAAAGAAACGGATGTCTGACAGAAAAAACGTTGCCACAAACAGCAGTAGAAAGAAGCTAGACAACAAACTTGAGGAAAACATTTTTAAGATATATTACAAGTAGTGAGTATGAATGATAAAGCATTTTTACTGATCCATATGAGCAAAAACAGAAGAAAAGGACCACATAGTTGGAAGATATATCATGCACAAGAAGAAACACTAGGGACAAGCAACTGCTCATTGTGTGTTTATAACTGTTAGGTATGTTCTAAGCACTTTGTAGTGCTAACTCATTCATCCTTGTGGCAAACTAATGAGCTAGCTGAGTAAATATGACAACAAATAAGTTTCATTGTTAACCTCACACTTACTTAGAGAGGGGCAGATGTGTCCCCGGGGAGGTTAAGCAGCTTTCCAGATAATAGAGTTAGTAGTTTTGGAGTCTGGATTTAAACCCAGGCGGTCTAAGTTCACATACAGAAACTGTTAATTATGTGATATATATTACATAGTATATTCAAGAGAGTATTTAACCTTGCTAACAACAAACGAACACAGCAAGGTATAATTCGTGAAGAATTTAATTGGAAGACTCATATAACTGATAACACTGAGGGTAAAAAGAAAATAACTGTTTTGTATTATAAATTTTTAAAGTGTTTTATTTTATAGTCAACATGTTACTCTTACTAAATTTATGTACTTTTATTTTTATCTTCTCACATTCTTCCTTCTAACACCCTCCACATGTCTTTCCCCTTTTCTTCCCATCAAATTATTTGTGTCTTCCCCAGTAATTATTGATAAACACACACACACACACAAACACACACACAGTTTTAGTTAGGGGTTATCATTGCTGTGAAGACATACCATGACCACGGTAACTCTTATAAATAATAACATTTAATTGAGGTTGCTCACTTACAGTTTCAGAGGTTCGGTCCATTATCATCAGAAAGGGGAGCATGGCAGCGTGCAGTCAGATGTGGTACTGGAATTGAGAGTCCTACATCTTGACTAAGAGGCAACAAGAAGTCGACTGACTCACACTGAGTGAAGCTTGAGAAGAAGAGACCACAAAGCCTGCCCCCATAGTAACACAATTTCTCCAACAAGGCCACACTTACTTCCACAAGACCACACTTCCTAATAGTGCCATTCCCTTTGGGGACCATTTCAAACCACCACCACTACACACACACACACACACACACACACACACACACAGTCATAGAAAGAGTGAGAGAGAGAGAGACAGGCAGACAGACAGATAGACAGATACAGAGACACAAAAGGGGAGGAGGCAAAGAAAACTTTATGTAACACTAGTAAGGAATTACAAACATAGAAGCTTTTTATTTTATTTTTTTAAAAGTTGCATGTGTACTTGTGGAGTAATGTTCACATGAGTACAGTGCCTGTGGAGGCCAAGAGAGGACATCAAACACTCTAGAGCCCATGGTACCGGTGGTTGTGAGCTGCTTAATGGAGGTTAGCGGTCAAACGTGTGTCCCCTGGAACAGCAGTGCACACTTTTGAACTGAGCCATCCATCACCTATTTATCTGTAAGCCCCAACTTCCTGGGGAGGAAATTTCGAGTAGCACATCTGCTTCAGCACACTCATTAAATTGTGGATGCTCTTAGTTACATTCACTGAAATAGTGTTCATAAGAGAATAAAATATTAGTTATCTAAAAGACTAACAATTCATAAGTAAACAAATCAGTTACATCGAATGTGTGAAATGTTAAATGTTACCAGCAGGTATTAAAATCAAGTTTAGACTATTCATGATGAACGAAAGTTCTGATGTATCGATATATTTAACCAATATATATAATATACCAATTCTTTGTTTATTATTATTATACCTTAGAAATTTGTTTTTTTGAATTATTTTATTTTTACTGATTCTTTGGGAATTTCATGTCATACACACCAGTTCCACTCATCTCCCAGTTTCTCTGTATCCTCTCCTCCCTCTATTGCCTACCAAAGGAAAGCTATAAAAGAATAAAAATAAACAATAAAAATTTTTTAAAGAGTAAAAAATAAACACTTTGCTCCTCCATCCTTCTTCTCCATCACCTTTTCACTCATCTTTGTGGTAGCTCCTGTGTATCATGAAGTAGACCCTTTCGTCCAAATAGCTTTACTTGCAAATGTTCATTGTGTAATGAGTTGCTGGTCAGGTTCAAGGCCTTTGGCTTTGGTACACCATCAATCTTGGACCTCCTCCAACATTCCTCTCTGTTATCCCACTGATGCCCTGAGCCATGGAAATCCTGCTGCTATGGTTCTGCAGGATCAGTCTCTTCACACATTCCAGCACGTCATAGACGGGTTAGTTGTTGGGATGTTCCAACAACAAGCTAGATGGATGTGTGCCCTGATGGCAGCTGAGATGATCACTCCACTGGGACCACCCCTCCCAGGTAAGGGGCGGAGCCAGTTCTCCCAGGCACTCGCTGAGGGGTGGGGCTAGCCCTCCCAAATGTGGGAGGCCAGCTTTCCCATTAGGGACAAGGCCAGCTTTCGGGTGCTGAGGCCATCAGTGTCCTTTATCCCAGGGCCAGGGAGGTTCAGGGTCAGCTCTCCTGGGTGTGTTTGGGGGAAGGGAAGACAAGTCACCCCAAGCCAGTGAGGGATGGGGTCAGTTGAGCTGGGCCCTGTACTTCGACACATGGTTCAACACATGGTTTACATGGACCCCTGTGGTAACACGGACAATGAACACCCACACAGACATCAGCTGCTACAGGACCTCGTGGTCATTAGCAGCAGCAACTTAGGCCTGGACATCATTATAGCTCTGCATGGCAATGCAGGTCTCTCAAATCTGGATGGGCCCAGAAGCAATGTGGTCCCAGAGCGCTCCAACCTGGCCTCATGCAGCTGATTAGTTCCCTGGGCAGTCCTAGCCCTCTGATGGCAACAGGAGCCAGGGACCTCAACACAGACACTAGCTGCCTGCCTGCCACAGAGCCACAATGGTCCCTAGCCACAGCTTGGGCCCAGACTTCTCTATGGTCCTTGGGTGGCAGCTCAGTCCACCCCCATCTGTATGGCCCTGGTGGCAGTGTGACCCTTGGGCACTAACACGGCCTTGGATGTCAGCCCATACCCTGGGAATCTGCACAGTCCTCAGTAGTAACAGAAGCCATTGACATCAACACAGAACCTGGCTGCTGTAAGACCATAGACCCAGCCATGCTTCTCAGAAGCAGCCTTGGCCTGGATGCCAACATAGCCCTGAGTGGCAGCAGTCTATCCTGATCTGTATGACTCCAGTGTCACTGTGACCCGTAGGCCCCAACAGGTCCAGTCCCTGGGCATCCACTTGACCCTGAATGGTAATAGATGCCATGGACACCAACACAGACCCTGGCTGCAGTAGGATCATGGACTCAGACATGGGCCCTGCAGCTGCATCTCAAGCTTATACAGCACCATGGCCCTGGGTGGCATCCCAGGCCATCCAGATTAGGATGGTCCCTGCGATGGTGTGGCCCTCTGACATCCATGCAGCCATATGTGGTGGCCGTGATCCCAGATATCCTCACATCCCTTGGTGGTAACAGTGGCCATGGACAGCCACACAGACCATGGCTGTAGCAGGGCCATGGACCCAGACCTGGACCTTGGTGTTAGCCCAGGACTGGAGGACACCATGTCCTGGGTGGCAAGCAGGATTCCTACATCAGCCTGTTCCTCACAGCCTTCGCCTCTTCAGATCCACTTCTTTCCAAAGTATGTGAATCTCCCTCTGACCCTCTCTCCCTCCCATACTCTTCCCATTGCTCACCACTATGGTACCAGATCTTACAGTCCTTGGTGTCTTCCTACTTGCCCAGAGCAAACCACTCTGGTGGGCGTGTGCATGTCCATCTCTGGCTGCTCAGTTTTTATCAGACTATTTTCTAATGAGAGACAGAATGGGAGTGGACCTGGATGTGGAGGAGGGTGGGAGGACAGGAGGAACTGGAAGAAGTAGAGGGAGGGGAAACTATGAAAAATAAAACTATTTTCAATAAAAGAAAAAATAATAAAGGGTGTATGCTCCTTACTATTTTCTGATCTGTTTTCCTGTGGAAAGGCTGTCACCAAGAAAACTAGATATTTGAGACTACAGCTCTCAGTAATGAAATCTATGAAATTCAGTAGACGTCTCTCAACATTAGTTTGCTATGTTAAATAGCAGTGTGAGCTTCAATATTTACTTTGTATCCATGAAAATCAAGCCTTCTAACCAGAGAATGTTTTGTTAGCATTTTCCCATGCACAGGACTCAAAGTTTTCTTTTATCGTGGCAAGGATAAGGAAATATTACTTATATTGCATTTATTTTTAGCATAAATATATCGACAACTATCATTTCTGTTTGGTTCCTTTCAAGGAATCATTATATTATAGCAAGAAATCTGCATTTTAATATTGTCTCTACAGAATGGTCACTCCAGGGAAACACTAGAAAAGATCCAAATTGTGTTTTACAGGGTCTAGCAAGACTGTGACATTCTCAGCAGGCCATACAGTTAGGCTTAGACTTTGGACAGTGATGGACATTCAAATTCCAGGTCTTTGCGTTCCCAGAGGTGGAAAAAAATGACATCCAAAACTTTCCAAAGTGGTCAGATGTTTAAATACATTAGCTAATGCTATTTTTTGATTTGTTTAAGTGTTAAATGAGATAATGTATTGAAGTGTTAACTTCAGACTAATACCAGTTGTTTCTAATAACATGAAGGTTGCTAAATCTAATATAAATTACACAGACCTAGACATGAACATGACTCTTATTTCTGGATTTTTTTCAATAGATGTGTCCAATATCTAAAACAATATATTTTTAGTATTCTGTAATACCCTAAGGGGCCTAAATAAAGAGATACATTTGCTTCAACTTCCTCAGGTAAGTCAGTAACATCTGGCATCTTGTTACTCAAAATCCCTCCACAGATAGAGCTAAATTACAAATTATGCTGATCAAATCATCTAGCTTGGTCAATGAGCTGTGATAAAAGCCATGAAAACTGAGGTTTTCCCTGATTGACCATTCTGACTGTGACTGAAACTGAAAAACAACAACAAAAAATAATAAAAAAACAAAACAAGCAACAAAAGGAGAGCATGTAGACCAGTTTGAGCAGATTGATTTATTTTACCCCAAGGATTTGAGGACACAGTCCTTTGTAGTCTATGTCAACTGCCACTTAAAACCTTCTTCCTGTTCTTACAGATGTTTTTCTGATATGTTTGACTTTCTGAGTTGGCAGTTTTCCCTTACAGTTTTGAATATTGTTTCTTTACTTCATACTTTTGACATCTTGACTATGACATAGAGAAGTTCCTCTTCAGTCATATCTGTTTGGAGCTCTAATTGTTTCCTGCATTTAGATGTCCATTTTGTTCTCTAGGTTTGAATTTTTCTGCTGTAATTTCATTGATAATTAAAAAATAAGATAACTGAATGTTTTAATATTACTCTGTGTGTATGCATGCTCAAGTACACACACACACACACACACACACACACACACACACACACACACACACAGAGGCTCATGTGCCACACATCTCTTTGGAGGTTAGAGGATAACTTCATGTATTTAGTTATCTCCCTTCACCTTTACATGGATTCTGAGGAGCCAACTCATTTCACTAGACTTTTGCAAGCAAACACCTTTACCTGCGGAGCCATGACACGACCCAGGGCCTTTGTTTTTTCCACTAAATAATTTATCTATGATTCCTATTATTCAATTCTTCTTTTACCTTAAGTCATTTTAGGCCTTGTCTATTTTTCAAATTATTTACTCTGTCACAGACAGACACACACATACATCATCATCATCTTGATCAAAGTTCCTCCATTATCTTTGTTAGCCCCAATTCCTCTCACCTTTCTCTAAGTTCCACTCCTACTTCTGTGTCTTCTCTCCCTGTGACCCATTGCATGTATTTAGGGTTGCAGTGGCATAGGTGGGGGGTATTCTCTTGAAAAGAGAAATGGCTGCAACATCACCCCTCCTCTTGTAGTAACTGTCTATAGCTCCTCAGAAAAGAGTGAGGCCTTAAGAGCCCCTCCTTCATCCATAAGGCGATGTTGATTGGCTCAGTCTTTTGCAGGCCTTGTGCAGACAGAATCAGCATCTCATCTGAAAGTAATTGTGTCCCACAGGCATGTTGCAAAGATAGTGTTTTTGCACTTCAAAGTAATTACAAATTTTGGTTGTCCTCATTTTTTTTCAATATAATATGGCTTCAAACTTGTCATCCACTTGTGAAACTTCCTTATGCTCCCAATGTGATTTTATGATTGATTGAATAGTTTCCAGCATTTTGTTTGGTTCCTTTTTAGGCTTAGTTTCCTTCTGGAAAAAAAATCCCATTTAGGTTCTGAATTAGCTTCCTTATTTACCTGTTTGTTTTTATTGATTTGATCACTGATCTTTTTAAGAGTGGGGCTCTGAAAACTTTTTTCTGTCATTTAGTATTTCTCATTGTCTTTGGCTTTTGGTGTTAAGGAACTGTATTTTCCTGAAGGTGTCATAATGACTTATTTTCTCATATGCTTTTTGTCTTGTGCATCTATTAAGGATGGGGTGTCACTCTGCTTGTATTCTTTCTTTCTTCCTGTTATTTGTGTTTGCTTGTTTTATTTTACACACGTTTTTATGATGAGCTGTCTTCAGCTGGATTGATGTCTCCAGTGCTATTTAAGAGGAAAGCCAACTTTGACACCAGGTGTGATGATTTGACATCAGTCCCTTCGTGGTTCTTCAGCAGAAAAGCCATATATACTTCACCTGTGTCCCTCAGGAGGTTCTGAGACATTAGCACTAAGGAGCTGATTCTAAAAAAAATGTAATTAGTTGTTTGATAGAATGAAGAGTGTTAATACTTAAGTAGGAAAGAGAGTAAGGAATGGGGGAAAGAGAAAGAAAATAAAGAGTGAACAAGAGGGAAAGGATTATGTATTGGAGTTATGAGAAGTTATAGGGAAATAATACAGAATTGGAACAACTAAAGGAAGTCCTCAAATGACCCCCAGGAAGTGGTACAAGCTGACACAAAATAGTCAAAAACACATACATCTAACAAAAAGATGAAAAAATGGTAATAAAATCTAAAATTAAAAATAAAATATAAAAGATCTTTATTATCTTTCTAGTTGGGATGTGTGTGGTCTCTCTACCTCCCTTCCTCCTCATCCCATCCTATGTAGGGGACTGCGGACGGGAAGCGCTACTGATCTTAATTCAAACACATTAAATTGATGACGATGAGTTCCACATTGTTCTCTACTTTCTTCAGCAATTTCCTTATCTGAAAATTCCTGCCTGACCATTACAGTGTTGTCTCTGGCATGCTGGGGAACATACGTTCCCCACGAGGCTTTCTGCACCCAAGGTTCTGAATGAGTATAGGAGAA